TTCTAAACAACTTTTTCCTTATCCGAGATGATTGATGGTTTGAAAAACTTGTGTAAATTATGTTTCTTGCAAAAAAATTTACTAATATCAGCCGTTTGACAAGGAGCAGCTTGTTTATAACATAACATACCCGTCACATAGTTAATCCGGAAAAAGGCAGGTTGATCATTATCAATCGAGTTTTATAAAATTTACACGATTTTTTTGTTGATTTTTTACATATTTAAACATGAGCAACTAAGAGTACCACGAAGATTTTTTATACAAAGCAAGTACTTATGAATTGCTCTTAAATTACAAAATATCTTAGTGGTTTTTAAACCCGCACGTTTCACGGAAGAAAATGCAGCTAAAACAATCCGTCTTTTCCTTAAACTTCAATATGCCAATAAAGGAATTGACGCGGTGAATATTAGTAATATTCTTAATCACAAAAGGGTCCAGTCTTATATTCCACCATATTTCAAGTTAAAGACTACGCCTTGTATTTCCTATAAATATACATCGACCATTGCTTCCAAACTTTTCAATTACAAAAATACTTTACATGGCCTGGATATCGACTATCTAAAAAATAATCCCCTTTCGTGTTCATGTTCTTCTTCGCCCTATAACTATAGTCCTGCTGGACACGTTATTACAGGTGATGTAAATATAGTTCGTAATGAGGACCTTAAATCACTTATTTTAAAAGGTCCTAAATATAGGGAACCCCGATCCTTCAACTGGCGTCAGAATTTCATAAATATTATGGATTCTGTTGAAAATTACGCCAGACGATGGGCTAGATATGAAAAAGAAGACATTGACACCTTGTCAGCATGGATTAAATGTATCAGATCCATGTTAAAGTCACGTATTAAAAGATTGAGGGGCAAAATGAAAACCATCTATCCTTCTGTGTTCAATAAACCAGAAGTGAAAAAAGAATTAGATAGATTACACGATCAGTACGTACTGGTTCCTGCCGACAAAGCAGGTAACAACATTGTCTTCGTTTGTAAGGCTCATTATATTAATTGCATTTTAGAAGAACTTGGATTTAATTCTACGAGTGGTAACCCTACTTATACATATACTACTCTTTCTAAGGAAGATGTCCTTCAAAATCACCTGTCAGTTTTGAATACTTTTAATATTCCACAGAGCCAAAATGAATTTGAACTACCTTATATATATTGGATTCCGAAACTTCATAAGAATCCTTACAAACAAAGATACATTGCAGGTACCAGTAAATGTTCAACCAAGCCTCTTTCGTTACTTCTCACTAAAATATTGACAGTAGTGAAGGAAAAACTTCAAGAGTACTGTACAACTATATATTCAAGAAGTGGTGTAAATCAGATGTGGATACTTAAAAATTCTAAAGAACTTTTGGACAATTTGAAATCACAAGACTTTACAAAAATCAACAGCATAAAAACTTACGACTTTTCAACTTTATACACAACAATTCCGCACGACAAATTAAATTCCAGGCTTTTTGATATCATTGACAGCTGCTTCTTCAACAAAAATGGAACTCGTAAGTTTACTTACCTCGTCATTGGTCATTTGAAAAATTATTTTGTTTAAACAAATTCTGATTGTACACATAAGTACTCTGAAGTTGACATCAAGAAGATGCTTGAGTTTCTGATTGACAATATCTATGTGGTTTTTGGAGACCGGGTATTCCAACAATCTATTGGAATTCCCATGGGTACAAATTGCGCTAGGTTATTAGCAGACTTATTTTTATATTCATATGAAGCAGAATTTATGCAAAATTTTTTGTGTGAAAAGAAAAAAACACTTGCTGTCGCTTTCAACTCGACATTTAGATATATCGACGACGTATTGTCAATTAATAATGATAATTTCCATTCCTACGTCGACACGATATATCCTGGTGAGCTTGAGATAAAAGATACCACAGAGTCCAACACATCTGCTTCATACTTGGATATTTTACTTGAAAAAGACACAAATGGTAATCTAACAACCAAGCTATATGATAAACGTGATGACTTTAACTTTTCTATCGTCAACTTCCTTACTTATGCAGCAATATACCTTCATCACCTGCATACGGAGTATTTCAGTTGATTCGATACGCAAGAGCATGCTCTACGTATGAACAATTTCTTAAACGAGGTAAATTATTGACAAGCAAGTTGATAAAACAAGAATATCAACAGTCTCGTTTAAAGTCATCATTTCGTAAATTCTATGGTCGATACAATGACCTTGTCAGCAAATACAATTTATCATTGAATGAAATGCTGACTGACGTTTTTCATACCAATTGTTAGTCCATTATTTATACACTGAATTGACTACGGATTTTTTCCGTTATTTCCTGATTATGACAATGAGCACACGGCGGGTGTGACCGGTCAGCAGGGGATGCTCACTCCTCCATGGAACCTGATCCCACCTCTGATGTTTCGGAGGTCCGTGTTTGCTCTGCTCTTATTTTGTATATTTGTTTAATGGACGTTGAGATTGAATAGTGTTCGTTATTTCCATATCCTTATTGCTCATAGTTTTTAGAGCGTAAGAATGCTGACAATACTGCATATTCTTACTATTTTTCGTGATCATGCAGAAACAAAGTTCTCTTAAATTCATTTTATGGACGAATGAGAAGAAATCTAATATGTTTTATAAAAAGTAGGTGTTCCCATCTTTCAAAAGATTGGGGTGTCTTATTATATACAAGTAATCTATTTTCTGAGAAATTTGGGGGCCATACGACATTACTTGTCATATCTTTTTCTTTCTACACGAACTGAGGATGTTTCTCCATAAGTTTCATCTTTCCTTGCAAAGAGGTTCTTGAGAAGAAGTTTTTTAAAAGATACCACCAACTTTTCATTCATTCCAAAAAATCTCCCCTTGAATGAAGGCGTGGCCCTTCATTTGAACAAACTTGAATCCCCCTAACCAAAAGATGCTTTGTGGCAAGTTTGGTTGAAAATTACCCAGCGGTATTTGAGAAGTCGAAAATGTGAAAAGTTTACAATGACAATGACGACGACGACGACAACAACGACGACAGCGGACAAACTGTGGTAAGAAAAGCTCAGAAAACCTTACTTGAGCCTTTGGCTCAGGTGAGCCAAAAAGCAAGGACTCAATTCTTTTTATCATTTAATAAGTTTATATTTTTTATAGCTAATTAATATTTTCTGTATATTTACATAAATAAAACTTAGAATATATTTATTTTTTCGAAATTAAACTGTTTAATAAGGAAGTCAGTAGAATATTTTTTCCTCAGAATAAACTACAGGTTTTTGAGAAATAAAATATCTACATGTACAGTATAGTAGTCTTATTTTTTTTATTCAATGAAAAATAATGTACTCAAAATTTGCTTGGCACTTTTCAAAGAAATCATTACAGTTATAGATATAATAGTTTTAATTTGAAAAGCTACACGTTTTACACGTACCACGCTAAAGAGAGTACTGTAAACCAACTTTTATTCGCGGCGGCTTTATTTCGAGATTTACTAGGATTAAACTAGTTCGCGGCGATAAATTTTCGCAATGAAGCCTTTTTGAATCTGTTGTTAATAAATAAAATACACTTCATGTATCGGTTCGCTGCAAGAAATATTCGCGACAACGAGGCTCTTTCAAAATTTGCCAAAGTTTCTTGCACGTGAATAAAAGTTGGTTTACAGTAGTATTTCATGCAACCCTCAAATAAAACCTAACAATTTATTAAATGACCATGAAATAAAATTATGTTACTTTTATTTCGTAAGATAAACAATGTAAACAATTAATGCAATTGGGATTTTATTAATGACTTGATTTTTAATTTATAAACAAGTTATTAAAAGAGCACATTTATATAAACAAGAGGCCAATGGGCCACATCTCTCACCTGAGAAGCTTTGGCCAATCTGTTCTTTACCAGATTTCACTCTTGTAATATATATTGTGACCCCATCCTACCCCATTGATCATAATTTAGACAATTTGAAAATTGAAAACATTCGTGATGAAATCAGATCTAATCAGACCGGTGATGCAAAGGAACATAAATTAGAACCGCAAACGAACTCTAGACTTTAGAACTTTCTACCTGCATCGCAAGAAGAAGTTAGAAAAATCATTCAAAGTTCGCCCAACAAATCATGTGAACAGGACCCCATACCAACATGGCTTCTTAAATCATGTCTTGACAAACTTCTGCCTGTAATCACAAACATCATCAATGAATCATTCAGTTCTTGCCATGTACCAACGGAGTTTAAAAGTGATATTATAAGACCTCATCTGAAGAAACCGGACTTAGACCCTAACGTACTGAAAAATTACAGAACCGTTTCTAACCTCCCGTTTGTATCAAAGGTTTTAGAAAAAGTTGTAGATAAACGTATCGGTGACCATCTAGCTGAAAACAGTTTACATGAACCACATCAATCTGCATACAGGAAACTTCATTCCACAGAAACAGCCTTACTCAAAGTGCATAACGATATCCTTCAGTCACTAGACAATAAATGTGTCACTGTTCTTGTGTTGCTTGACCTGTCAGCAGTATTTGATGCGATAGATCATACCACACTACTGAGTCGTTTGGAAAACCTCTACGGAATCAAAGATAACGCCCTTTCCTGGATTTCAGCGTACCTTAATGGTAGACAACAAACTGTTTGTGTTGAAGGAGAGCTATCTGATCCATTTACTATAAATTTTGGTGTTCCACAGGGATCCGTATTGGGGCCGAAATAATTTACAATGTATACCAAGTCAGTAGGTGCTATCTGTGGTAAACATGGTCTAATGCATCACTTTTATGCTGATGATTCACAACTGTACATTTCGTTTAAACCCATAGACATTTTGTTGAAATCTGAAGCAATAAACCGCGTAGAGTCCTGTCTAACGGAAATCATTATGTGGATGAATGGAAACATGCTAAAACTGAACTCTGAAAAAACAGAATTCGAAGTAATGTTGTTTTCTTCCAAAAACAATCTCAAACATGTCGAAAATATGACGGTTGGTAAGACATCTATTTCAGCATCAAATGACAGCATCAGAAATCTTGGTGCTCACTTCACACCACAAATGGACATGGAGAAACACGTCAACACTGTCTGTAGATCTGCCTACCACCAGAAACATCGGACGCATACGGAAATACCTTACAACCGATGCAACAAAAATATTAGTTAATTGTCTAGTAACATCAAAGCTTGATTATTGTAATTCGGTGCTCTTCGGTATTCCAAAATTGACAGTGAATAAACTACAACGAGTTCAGAACACAGCTGCCAGAATCATCACAAAAACTCCTCGTCATGACCATATAACACCAGTGCTCAAGGAACTTCATTGGCTACCAATTTGTCAAAGGATCGATTACAAGGTCCTACTGTACACTTACAAGGCTCTCCATGGACAGTGCCCACAATACACTATAGACTTATTGTGTGTGTACCGACCAGCTAGAGACCTTCGTTCTAGCAATTCTTTAACACTTGTAATACCACGTACCAGAACTGTGACATTTGGAAGACGTAGTTTTAGCCATGCTGCACCAAGATTATGGAACGCACTGCCAGAGTCAGTTAGAAACGCCAAGACACTTAACGCTTGCAAAAGACAGCTTAAAACACATCTTTTCCGCTCCTATTATGTTGAGTAACTAGAGGTATTAACAATCAAAAGACATTGTATATATTGAGTAGGAAATGGTGCTAAAATGTGATATTTTAAAGTTTTTACTTTCTGCTATGTGTTTTTTCATGTAAACTTTATAACCTAATTTTTAAACGTTTTTTAAATTTTCGATTTTAAAGTAATATAATTTTTTGATTACAAACTCATCGAAACTTGTATTAAGTAGTCTAAATATTATTTTATGTTATATCTGTGCTTAATTCTGATAGTCTTATTAGATTTTTACGACTGGTAATTTTAAATGTATATCTGTCTATGTTATTCTTAGGTAGAGTTATTGATTTTAATTTCGATTTGAAACACTGTATTGCATTTGCTATATCTTGTTTGTTGTAAAGCACTCTTGAACATGTCTATGAAAAAAGTGCTATATAAATCTGGTAAAATAAAAAAAATAATAATAATAAAATAAAATAAAATTAATACACTACTCCAGGATGCTTCCACATAAGTTTCAGCTTTTCTGGCCTAGTGGTTCTTGAGAAGAAGATTTTTTAATGACCCCACCCTATTTTTGTCTTTATGTGTTCATCTCCCTTTGTGAGGGGACTTGACCCTTCATTTTAATAATTTCGATTCCCCTTTACCCAAGGATGCTTTGAACCAAGTTTGGTCAAAATTGGCCCAGTGATTCTTGAGAAGAAGTCGAAAATGTGAAAAGTTTACAGACGGACGGACAGACAGACGGACGGAAGATGGACAATTTGTGACCAAAAAAATGAGCAGTTGAAAATACTGGGATATTTTTTTTTTGTTTTGTTTGTATTTACCTGGCCGTTTAATATGTATAAAATGGTATCAACACCAGAGGCTTTAATCGCCAATGGGCAGAAAATCAAAGTGAATGCATTTTATTTGAGTACACTATCAGTGTTACACATTATTGAACATGCTGGTCAACAATTACCCTAATAATAATCTATGTAATGCAAAAGAAATTTGATAAATGAAATGTGTTGCTAATCCGTAATCTATTTTTTTCAGAATTGATTAATTTTTTACTTGCTGCAATAATGTAGCTCTCTCTGATTTTTTTTTATCTGATGTTTTCTGGGGAGGGCTACAATTCCACAGCATCTCCGTAATGGTGCAAAAATATTTTTTAGATACGGGCGACTGCAGGCAGAATAAATTGTTTTTACATTCAACTTATTTCTTATAAGACAAAATTTTTATTCGACACCATAGCCCGTTAAACGCGAAAACCATGTAAAATAAACAGTTCACGCGTGACGTACCGAAACTTGCGCTTGAAATTTAGAATAACTCAATAAAGCAAATATTGATGTTTTTAAATAATTGTGATAAATAGTAACACTAAACATTAGTAAATAAAATCAATCCATGTGTTATTTTTTGTAAAGAGCAATATTTAGGCTCAAAATAATGCAATTCCAAAGAAATCCGCTCCCTTAAGATCCTTAATTGCATTTGCTGTCCCAAAATAAAATGTGTCAAGGTCAGTAAATATCGCGGATAAATTGAAGTTGTGATGTGACATACACGATAAATACAGATATATGAATTGTTCTGTATATTTTTAGATCGATTTATGTCTTGGATAACTATATTTTGGAAGTCCAGGTTAGACATATTCGTAAAAAAGCTGTTTACTGACAATTTGAGCCAAAATTCGTGCGGGAGTGAATCGCTGCCGCATTACACCATTACAGAGAGATCTTAAAGAAATGTAGCTCTCTCTCCACCCCCCCCCCCAAAAAAAGGAGAGGGCTACATTAAATTGCAGCTAATTTTGAACATAATCTGGGGATTCAATTCTGGTGATTTAAAAAGTTGTAAACTTTAACATTTACAAAGAAAACTCTTATAACTGAGTATTACAGAGCTAGAGAAACTACTTTCAAAAACCCCAGTACTCAAGAGTATCCCGATAGTATGAGTATAAGCATGCAATTTATTGTAGGATTTATTTAAAGCTAATTCTAGTGGAAGATAATCAATGCAAGTTTAATTTTCCGTATAAAAAAATAAATATGGGAACCAGTATAAAATTAATGACATAAAAGAAAGAAATTGAATTAATATCAGACCAAATTATTGTGATTAAACGTTCATGTTCAGTGTCATTCATACATGTACTTGTAGGTGTGAAAGTCTTCTTCCTTCTATTAATTTTATTTCAAATTTTGTCTAGGCGTGTACTGTTCATAAATGACCCTCGCATACAAATAAAGATTCCTGATATACTACACAGAATCAATTTCAACTGCCTTATAAAGGTCTATAATTTATTGGAAATCTCATTTCTGAGTAAGCTCTGCCAATTTAATTAATAAACCCCGCCAAATGGGACTGCTGTGGGACTGCTTTGTGTCCGGTTGGGTTTGGTGGCTACTATACTTCTTCATAAATATGGTTTTAGGCCCCAAGATGCATTAATTTACAAGATTTGATAATTCTACACCTCTCAGTGTCTGAAATAATGAAATGAAATGTTTTTTTTAAAGATTAGCCATTTGAATTAGAACTGTCTAAAAGGGACAAATACTCCCACAGATTTTTTCACAGAGGCGTCAAACCATGAATCTTTTATGGATTTAAGAGAAGAGAGAAATGCTTAAGGAGTTTTAGTACAAATATAATTTCTCATTATACTGCTTTATGAATGAAACCTTGCTCTTGCATTAATAACCTTGGATCAGAGTTATGACACACCCTCCGGTCATAAGCAATCTTTATGTAAAATGGGAGCTCAACAGATTTATGTATAAGAAAGATATGTTTTATAATGTTTGCATTTTATATTGTATGAACTGGACATAAATTATGACATTTTTCTGTCAGCATCCTTGAAGATGTACAGATGACCGAGGGTCAAAGACATAATATACCCTCTGGTCATAAGCATTTTTTATGTAAAACAGGAACCCTTAAAGTTTATCCATAAGAAAGATATAGACCTGGCGCATATTAGTGTGGCTCTATACTAGCCCGAAAGGGTCAGCATTGCCCAAGGATCACGACACAGTATAACATGGCCTTTGAATCAGCTGCAGCATATATCCAAGGATGCTTCAAACGTTATGACAAAGTGGGCCCAGCCATTTTTATGCGTTCGGATGGATATATCTAGGATAAATATTGTTTTTTTTCTGTGTGTTTGTCTGTTTCTCTGTTTGTCTGTCTGTCTGTCGTCAGCTTCAACCTTCACCAAAACTTTTGAAACTTGAGAGATTGAGACTTCATATTTGGCATGCATACTCCACAAATAAAGTTCTTTCAAATGGCATCGAGGTCAATGACCTTGCGACCTTTACTTTGACCTATATGCTAAATATAGATTTTTGGACTTTTCGCCTTAACTTTTGAACCATAGAAGATAAAGACTTCATATTTGATATGCACACTCCACTATTATATTCTTGCAAATGACACCAAGGTCAATGACCTTGTGGCATTGACTGTGACCTGCATGCTAAAAAAAGCTTTTTCAAACTTTTCTGCTGCGGGGCGCATAGTGTTTCACAAACACATCTTGTTCAGAATAAAACATACATAGAGTGAGAATTGCTCCCTTATTTTGGTCTTACTCTGTCGCCAGAATCATGTTTTGGCAAGAATATTGAAATCTACACAACTTTGGAATGTTTCCATTTGAATTCAAATTAAGGTGTCCTGTTAATTTTTTTTATAGAACATTTTGAATTGAAATAAAATTGTCAAAAAATAAACCAAGAGACGAATTTAGTCAGACAAGCTCAATTGGGTCTTTGGCTTACACGAACAAAAGAAAATTATTTGTTCTGTGCATTTTTCCTACATTCAAAATCAGAGAACAAAATTTATTTATTCTAATAATTTCTTGTCACATCATCATTTTCATAATTGAAACCTAGTCTGAAATATATATGTCAGTTTAGATACTTACATCAGTAAATATGTATGTCAGTTTAGATCTTTCTGTGTGTGTGTGACAATTATGAACAGTGGTGCCTTAGTGCCCCCAAAAGTCTTGATTGAGGTAATCCAAAACTTCAGATAGTCTGAAAAAAAGAAATAGAGCATATCTTACATGTAATAGAACAAAACAGGCACCCATGTTTGAAATCAATGAATTAACACTTCTGTCTAGGTAGTGCTTGCAACAGTGAACAGAAGCAGACAAGGTTCATGGTTAAGTAATATTTTCGCAACCGAGACGGGGGACACATTGATGCGCTTTTGTGTGTGTGCTTGTGGGTTATTTTTTACCCACTGAAAGTGGGGGATTTAATTTTGGTTTGTCTGTCCATCCATCTGTAGTTCTGTCTGTCTGTAATGATTTCGTTTTTTCCATGCCATTACGTTTTGGCAATGAAACTTTACACATTAACTCCCTTTGACCTAAGGAAGATCCCATTTAATCTTGAGGTCAAAAGGTCAAGGTTATAAAATAGATAACATCTGTCTATTTTAAAACTTTTGTTTCCATGCGGTATCTCCAGAAACCTTGCAATGATAATTTATACCACAACCCTATAATACTTAAAGAAGACCACTATCTATTTTTGGGACCAAAGGTCAAGGTAATAAATTTATACAATTTGTGCGTTTATTTAAAACTTTCATTTCCGAGTGATATCCCAAGAAGCTTTTTAGTTTTTGCAATCTCTTTCTCTAGCGTACTTTGCCTCGGGATTGATGTCGTATGTAGCTTTGATTAATAGACTGATATGCTTTTTGTAAAGGCGTGCTCTGCCTTGCGGTTCCCTTATTTCTTTTTTCCTTACAAAAACTTTATTTCATGTTCTGATATGAAAAATCGCAATTTTCGGATACAATATGTGTATATTGAATTAAATTCTTGCGTATTTAATCATTGACACACAGGCATATAGCATCGTTGGGAGTGGGAGGGGTTGGATTGTCAAGAAAAAAAACACATATAGTACCGACCAGACCCAACCTGACACAAAGCAGTCCCAGTGCATGCAGTCCCGGGGACTGCTTTCTGGGACTGCGGAA